AATCGGTACGAACCGTCCTGTTTTGGTACAAGAATACACGGTGAGCTCCAATCACTTTTACCAGGTTCAACAATGTCATTGTCCAACATGTACTGCACTTCCCTTCTTAGGTACTGCAATTTTATTGGATTGAGACGGTACGGATGTTGTTTGATAGGCAGAGCGTCGCCAACTATAACATCATGACAAGCTGCATTAGTTTTCTTTGGAACATCCGAGAAGATTTGATGGTACTCATTCATCAAGTTTTTAACTTGTTCTTTTTGGTGAATGTTCAAATGTCCAAGTTTGGCATCAAAATCAGTCAAAATTTCTGAGTTTTTCAAGCGGACACTCTGATTACAATCTTTCTCATTCATCTCTACACTCGTATCACTCTCAATACAATTTTGAACAGTCTTAGCGTTGGCTAAAGTGGAAACTGGTTTTACAGAATTTCGGTCACACCTTTCAAAATACTCTTTTAACATGTTAATGTGACAAACCCGTTTCTCTTTACGTCGACCTGGTGTCTTAACCACATAGTTTACATCACTGATCTTGCTTTCAATTTCATAAGGGCCATAAAATTTGGCCTGTAAAGGATGACCAGGAATAGGTAAAAATACAAGAACCTTATCACCTGGCTTAAACACCCTATTTCTGGCATCTTTGTCATACCACATTTTCATTTTCATCTGAGAACTCTTCAAATTTTCTTGTGCTAATTTACAAGCATTGTAAAGTTTTTCTTTGAAATCAGACACATAATCTAAAAGATTAAGATCACTAGTCTCAGTCAGTCACTTTTCCTTCAACAATTTCAAAGGACCTCTAACTGTATGACCGAACACCAATTCAAAAGGACTGAACCCAAGAGACTCCTGGACTGCTTCTCGTGCAGCAAATAGTACAAGATGAACCCCTTCATCCCAGTCTTTCTCATACTGGTAACAATAGGTCTTCAGCATTGTTTTTAGGGTTTGATGAAAACGTTCTAGCGCTCCCTGGGACTCAGGATGATAAGCAGTTGATCGATACTGCCTAATACCCAACTCATGCATGACTTGCTGGAACAACCCCGACATAAAATTTGAGCCTTGATCCGACTGAATTGCCTTGGGTGCTCCTACAAAACTGAAAAACTTGGTAAGGGCCTTAACTATGCTCTTTGCCTTTATATTCCTAAGAGGTATGGCTTCAGGAAACCGAGTGGATGTACACATAATGGTAAGTAAATACTGGTTTCCAGATCTGGTCCTAGGCAAAGGTCCTACACAATCCACCAACACTCGACTAAACGGTTCTTCAAAAGCTGGAATTGGTTGGAGAGGGGCGGATGGTATCTTCTGATTCGGTTTACCTACCATCTGACAGACATGACACGACTTACAAAACTCAGAAACATCCTTCCTTAGCTTAGGCCAATAAAAATGACTCAAAATCCTATTATAAGTCTTATTGATACCTAAATGACCAGCCATAGGTGTATCGTGAGCTAAACTCATGACATCTCGACGATAAGCAGCTGGGACCACTATCTGGTGAACAACACGCCACACTTCATCTGGAGAAGCGTCAGGTGGTCGCCATTTTCGCATAAGGATGCCATCTTTCATATCGAAGCATTCTCCAACTTTAGTAGCCTCTTCTGGTGGAAGTGCCCTCTTACTAAGTTGAATGATATCTGGGTCTTTATGTTGTTCAGAGAGTAAACGTTCTCGGCTGAGGATGTCCTTGCCTTGGCTAACTAGTGGATGCAACTCATCATCCTAACCACCAAATTTTGGTAAAAGTTCTTTCTTCTCTTGCTTCTTGATATTGTGTGGTTCCATGCTTGTTTGAGTGCCATCAAGGTCAGATAAGAAAGTGTCATTCAAATCAATATCAACAGGGGAATTCGTCTCATCAAAGGCTTGAGTATGGTCTGCCTCCATTTCTCGTCTTCTGGCCATCGCTCTAGTAACAGCACAGGCTGGATAAATGTCATCATCTTCATCATCGCACATGACATCTGGAGTGATTTTCTCACAAACTATAGGATCTGGTACAACTTTTCCACCAGCTAGATCGTTGCCTAACAACAAAGAAATGCCTGGAACGGGAAGAGTAGGTCGAACACCTACGATAACAGGTCCAGTAACTAAATCTGACTTCAAACTAATTCTATGCAGGGGAACATCAATGACGCCTAGCTCCACACCCTGTAATATAACTGACCCACCAGTAGAAGTCTGCTCAGACAAAGGAAGCACGCCCTCTAACAATAACGTCTGTGCAGCACCAGTATCTCTCAAAATCTGGACAGGTTTTATTTCGCTAGAGTCACCGAGTGAAACAAATCCCTGAGACATAAAGGGCTTATAATCCTCCATAGAATCAATAGAACTGGACTGTGAACCCTGGACATCAGCAGTGTCAGAACAAATCGAAACTAAGGCTTCTCTATCTCCTCTAACTGCCGCACAAGCATGTGGTTGAGTTTTATCAAAGTCATTTTTTCTCTTAATTTTAAAGCATTCACTGATCAGATGACCTTTTTTCTTACAATAACTACAAGTAGGAAGCGACCCTATTCCAGAAGATCCTTCAAAACGTCCTGGACCGGACTTAGAACCACCTTGGGATGGAGACTGGGAACTTGTGAAAGACTGAGACCCTGAACCACTCTTTTTATATGTGTCTGAATTTGTAGAATTACTGCTAGTCTGAGATCTTGATACAAAATTCTTTTTATGAGACAGAGCATAAGTATCAGATATGACTGCTGCCTCTTCAAGAGTTTTAACATTCTTATCTTCTAGATGTGTTTTCAAATCTTGAGTAACACATTCCTTAAACTCTTCTAAAAGGATGACTTGGCGCAAATTAGCAAAAGTTTTATCAAGTTTCTTAGATCTAAACCAGTGATCGAATAAATCTTCTTTCTCTCGTGAAAATTCAACAAATGTTTGATTATCAAACTTTCTATACTTTCTGAACTTTTGTCTATACGCTTCAGGTACTAATTCATATGCTTTTAATATTGCTGCTTTGACCTTCTCATAGTCTGAACTTTCAGCTACCCCTAGTGCAGAGTATACCTCAGCTGCTTTGCCAACCAGTACACTTTGTAACATTGTTGACCAAACGTGTTGTGGCCATTTAAGATTTTCTGCGACTTTTTCGAATTGGGGAAAATACTTGTCTACAGATTTTTCTTGAAATTTCGGAACTAACCTAATATTTTTTGCTGCATCAAATTCATTCTTGACAAATGAGGGTTCTGGTTTATGCTGTAATCTTAATTTCTCTAACTCAAAGTGCTCTTGTCTTTCTAATTTGTCTAATTCAAATTTCCGTTCACGCTCTCGTTCTTCTCTTTCTCTTTCTCTGTCTCTTTCTTGCTCTTCTCTTTCTAATTTTTCTCTTTCTAATCGCATTTTCTCTAACTCTAATTGAAACTGATAGTCTGCCATTTTATAAGAGCCTAACTCTGATCTAACTGTATATTCTGGAAGATCGTATTTTTCAAAGATGTTTTCATCTACTAGTTTGTTTGCAACCTTAATTCTAATGTCTTGCTTTTTCTGAGAGGATTTAACATCTGACCCAAAATGCAAACCTAATGCGATCAAGTCATCCTTTTTTAACGTATCAAAAACCTGAACACTTGGCGAACTAAGAAAGTTTGTGACCGAAAATACCATGTTGATTTTTGCTGGCTTATAATCAAATTTAACGGTTCAATAAACAAAATTCTGACAATAAACTGCAAAAGTGCAAGAAATTCTTTATCCCGGACGAGCCCCCAATTCTGTTATGGGTCAGAATAACCCTAAATGCCAGCAAAGATCAATCACACAGTTTAAACTTAACAATAATTTATTTACAGTAATATACAAATCATTAAGTACAAACTTAGCAAAAATCTAAAAATACATACATCAGAGTGTCCGTTGCTGCACACAATGTCCCAGTGAAATTATATCCCAGTAATACCTCAATGATGCTTATACGACAATTCTCTCTCTGCATCGAATTGACAGGGTATTTATACAGTAATATAAATCTAGAATATTCTAGAAATTGTAAATACATGATATTACTGGAAAGTTCTGGACATGCACAAAGTTCAAGAATGTTCTAGAAAAATGACCGAACATGTTGACCACTCTGGAATGTTCAAGAAACTTAATGTTACTAATAATATACATGATGAAATAATACAAATACAACAAACCTCACAACAGTACATCAGTAGGGAATCAGGACAACTCGCCCCCAAGACAACTCGCCCCCAACACCTGTAAAGACAACTCGCCCCCAATTTAGGACAACTCGCCCCCACTCAAGACAGCTCGCCCCCATTGCAGAGACAACTCGCCCCCATTATTTTTTCTTGTGTATTACAAGGAAAAAACAACATATTTTATTCAATAAAATATATTTAAATGCAGATTTATAATTAATGTGTATTATAAATTAAATAAAATTAATATTTACGATTGTATATGTTGTTGTTTGTTTTTTTTTTTTTACTCATATATAAAGTAAACACGGTGTAAGTATAAGATATATATTATTTCCTTATTTTTTTTCTTGTGAAATAGAGAAAATAAACGCATTTTGATTTATCATATTGTTTAAAATTTATATTTGTAGAATATGTCTGGGTAAATCAAGTACAATGTTCTAAGTCTTGAACAATTGTAATTATTCAATGATACATTAATGAATTCCATCAACGACGGCTTTTAGGAAACTTATGAAAACTATAATGAAAACATCACACAGAATTTTAATGAAATCCCCAAGCTCACAAGTATAATTTGAAACTTCAAAGTAATGATTAATTAGGACATACAAGCCCCGAAAATTACGTGTATTTCGTTTATAAAAAAATTGGAACTTCAAAGTGATGATTAATTAGGACAACCAAGCCCCGAAAATTACGTATATTTAGTTGGTCAAAAATGGGCTTGTCCAAGCTCCGAAGCAGCTTTAAGGTAATGAAGAATTAGAGCATGCAAGCCTAGAAAATTACGTATATACAGATGATAAAAAAATTGGCGTATCCAAGCTCCGAAGCAACTTAAAAGTGATGAAGAATTCAAGAAAGCTTGCGTTGGAAACAAATTAAATAATTTGACATGGTCCCTATATAAGGAAGAAATGACTTGAATTTATCATCAGTTTCAATCATGGCTGACTTGTGCATTGTATGCAATCTTCATCTCCGACAACGTCAAGAGGTCCTATGTTGCATTTCCTGCCACGGAAAACAACATAGGACATGTAACTCAGGTTAGAAAAAATGTCATTTTACATAAAAATAATTAAATATTAAAAACATTATATTCATCGTATATTCTCATCTTTTTTAAGTGCAATTTCATAGGCCTAATAGCCGTATAAATGCAAATATGTAATTGAGATTAGAAAAAAATATAATATTATATAAAAATAAATAATTTCATAGAAAACAAATTATTTTAATTGTATCTTCTCCTCTTTTAAACGGAATGTCATAGGCATAATGACCGCATAAATTGATGACTTTAATCTAAAACATATTTCTTTTTCAGGCATCTCACGTGAGGAGTATCGGCGGATGAGAAGCCAAGGACAAGTTGTGTTTCAGTGTGTCGAGTGTGTAGAGCCCACAGTTCCCTACTCCGAGGTCACCACCACCAGCGAGCTCCCCTCACGTCTTCTCCCAGACGCCGAGAGCACCCGCATAGTTGAGGAATCCATCAACATCCCCATCGTTCCCCACGCCGAGCCACACCATCCAGAGGAGGAATCACTCAACGACCAGACTTCACCCCAGGAACTTTCTACCACAGAAGCCGTCGTCACCTTCCAAGTCACCGAGAATACTTCACAACGCGGGAAGAGGAAACTTGTGTCTAGTGATGGATTTTCTTATGTGGTGAAGAAGGAGAACAAAAGCGGATCCATCCTCTGGCGCTGCAGCGTAAGGAACAGCAAGACATCATGTTCAGCCACCGTTCATCAACAAGGGGACACCTTCATCACCAACAGTAAAGAGCACACCCACGCCTCCAAACCCGGGATACTGACGGCAGTGCAGATGACGCAGAGAATCATCGAGACAGCAAAAGACGACCTGTTTGTACCGGCACCAACTATCGTGGAGAGAGTGATAGAGGAGATGGCAGATCCAAGGGAACCGGAATTCGCTCGTCCAAAGTTCAGCAATGCCGTGAGGACAGCCAACAGACGCCGACAAGCTGATCGACCAGAGGAACCCAAGGACATGAACTTCGAGGTATGAATTTATTTTAAAATTTATTATTTATTTATTTTAATACTTTTTCATATACCTAAAAATTTGCGTTATTTTTTTAAGATTTAGAAATAATTCCACATGATAGAATTAATTGATACATAAATAATAAGTACAATGTAGAAGATTAATGTTAAAATTTCAGAATAATACATTTTTTCTTCTTTTTTTAGATTGATTTGGAATTCCTGGAGCGCCACACTTCGTCGGATTTCTACAGAGGAGACATCACTGTTGGAGATCATCGACACCTCATCTTTGCATCAGATCAACAACTGTAACACATTGCTTCAGCAAAGACGTGGTACATCGAAGGAACTTTCAAGATCGTTTCCAAGCCTTTTGTGCAGCTGCTATCCATCCACTTCTTTGCCAGATCCGGAGACGACATGAAACAGCTTCCAGGGATTTACGTCCTCATGCCAAGGAAAAGAAAAGACTACAAGACTTCTACAGTGCCACATCAACCAACTTTGGGACAACTACAACGATGGATCCATCAGCGCCAGCCGACTACTGAAGAAGTGTGGACAGATCTACAACGGACAGTGAAGAAGGAAAACGTGCCGTAATTTGTGATTAAAGTGAAAATAATTGTGATTGAAAGAAGATAGTGATTAAAATAAATACTGTTTATATTATTTATGATTTATTTTCAATAAAGTCTAGAAAAGAAAATTTATTTTCGTTTTGTTATAGTTATATTGTATATCAGTAGGGGAACCAGAGGTCACCTTATATTGTACATCAGTAGGAGAAACAGAGTTCACCTTATATTGAATATCAGTTGAGGGAACCAGAGGTCACTTTATATTGTACATAAGTAGGGGGACCAGAGGTCACCTTAGATTAAACATCAGAAGGGTGACCAGAAGTTACATATGTACATCAGCAGGGGTACCTTAGGTCACCTTTTATTGTACATCAGTAGGGGACCAGAGGTCACCTTATATTTAACATCAGAAGGATGACCAGACGTCATTTTATATTGTACGGGGAATAGTGGTCATCTAATCTTGTACTATACATCTGTAGCGGGACCAGAGGACACCTTATATTAAACACCAGAAAGGGGACTAGAGGTCACCTTATATTGTACATCAGTAAGGGGATGAGAGGTCACTTCATATTGATAATTAGCAGTTGTACCAGGGTTCACCTTATATTGTACATCAGTTGGGTGACCAGAGGACACCTTATATTGTGCATCAGTACGGGGACCAGAGGGCACCCGATATTTTTCATGAGTACGGAGACTAGTAGTCACCTAATATTTTGCTGTACATCAGTAGAGGGATCAGAGGTCACCTTATATTGAACATCAATAAGGGGACCAGAGGACACCTAATATTGTACATCAGTAGTAGGACCAGAGGTCATCTTATATTGTTCATCAGCAGAAGGACCAGAGGTCAGCTTATATTGTACATAAGTAGGGGGACCAGAGGTCACCTTATATTATACATAAGTAAGGGGACCAGAGGTCACCTTATATTTAACATCAGTAGGATGACCAGAGGTCACCTTATGTTGTACATCAGTAAGAGGGACCAACGGTCACCTTATATTGTACATCAGAAGGGGGACCAGAGGTCATCTTATATTGTACATCGGTAGGGGGACCAGAGGCTACCTTATATTGTTCATCAGTAAGGGGGACCAGAGGTCACCTTATATCTAACAACAGAAGGGGGACCACAGGTCACCTTATATCTAACATCAGAAGGGGGACCAGAGGTCACCTTATATCTAACATCAGAAGGGGGACCAGAGGTCACCTTATATTGTACATCAGTAGAGGGACCAGAGGCCACTTTATATTGTATATCAGCAGGGGGACCAGGGGTCACCTTATATTTAAAATCAGAGGGAGACCAGAGGTCATCTTATATTGTACATCAGTAGGGGGACCAGAGACCACTTTATAATGTACATCAAAAGGGGGACCAGAGGTCACCTTATATTTAAAATCAGAATGGGGACCAGAGGTCATCTTATATTGTACATCAGTAGGGGGACCAGAGACCACTTTTTATTGTACATCAAAAGGGGGACCTGAGGTCACCTTATATTTAACACCAGAAGGGGGACTAGAGGTCACCTTATATTGTACATCAGTAAGGGGATGAGAGGTCACTTCATATTGATCATTAGCAGTTGTACGAGGGTTCACCTTATATTGTACATCAGTTGGGTGACCAGAGGACACCTTATATTGTGCATCAGTACGGGGACCAGAGGGCTCCCGATATTTTTCATGAGCACGGAGACTAGTAGTCACCTAATATTTTACTGTACATAAGTAGAGGGATCAGAGGTCACCTTATATTGAACATCAATAAGGGGACCAGAGGACACCTAATATTGTATATCAGTAGTAGGACCAGAGGTCATCTTATATTGTTCATCAGCAGAAGGACCAGAGGTCAGCTTATATTGTACATAAGTAGGGGGACACCTTATATTATACATAAGTAAGGGGACCAGAGGTCACCTTATATTTAACATCAGTAGGATGACCAGAGGTCACCTTATGTTGTACATCAGTAAGGGGGACCAAGGGTCACCTTATATTGTACATCAGAAGGGGGACCAGAGGTCACCTTATATTGTGCATCGGTAGGGGGACGAGAGGCTACCTTATATTGTTCATCAGTAAGGGGGACCAGAGGTCACCTTATATCTAACAACAGAAGGGGGACCAGAGGTCACCTTATATCTAACATCAGAAGGGGGACCAGAGGTCACCTCATATTGTACATCAGTAGGGGGACCAGAGGACACCTGATATTGTACATCGGTAGGTCACCTTATACAAGGGTTGTTTAATAATGTCTTCGGTGCTCGGAAAGAAACAAAAGTCGCTTTTCAATAATTAAGTTATAATGATTTAACCTAAATTATCTTTTCATTAAAACACATGTAAGTAACATTTTTATCCAATTTCTGATTCATTTTCAATTGTTTTTCGAACTCATTTTCTGGTATGAACCTTTGTATACTGGATTATTGCAGATCCTATGATTTCCTAGACTTGTTTCTTCCTTCTGAAAGGCGTTTTCTCAAGTTTGGCAAATGGAACAAGTCAAAAGGCAAAAGATCTGGCGAATATTGTTAACGTGAATGAACATTAACTTTTGTTTATCCCCAAGACCCCAAGGGTATGGACGCTGTCATGGAAAAAATCTTATGTTGTGGATTCCTTATTCTCATTAACCTTTTGATTTTTTGCCAATAAATTGCTTTCTAGATTCCTCCAGAAATTAAACTGCATCCCCGAATACGAATCTGAACAATAGGACCACTAATATTTAAGAAAATTGCCTATAAATCTATCCTTGTGCTCTTGCAATTCTCTGCTCTTCTTAGACCTTTGCTTTTTTTGTCAAGTACATCTTATTGTAAATTTGTTTTGAGGGTTTTAAGCAACAGATTCAAGTTTCATTATCTGTTTGAAATTCAAATAAACGTGGATAACTACAATTACTGATATTCATTTTTTTAAGGGTTACTTTTGAGTAATAAGCTTTTTTTTCTGACAAACGTTTTTAAAACAGTGTGAACTACTCCCGAAATGATGTGTATTTTGAAAGAGGTCGTATAAGGCGTGTACAATCCCCCGCTCTGAGACAAAATGTTTTTCAATTTTCAAAATCCACAAAAAAGCTATATTTTTCTAAAATCATGTTCTCAGTAATGTCATCTTCAAAATATTTTATCATTTTATTTTTCTGAACGACTTATCATTTGATTATATTTATTTAAAAGTTGACAGTTAAGCATATTTAGTGGAAAATGGGTTTAATAGAGCTATAAAAACGAATTTTGAGCATGAATGGGTCAAGTCTCCATTCTTCGCGAACGCTTAAATGATGAAATGTTACAAACCCGTCCATTGAAATCACACTGAAAGACGTCAGTAGTGCATATACTTCGTAGCGTACCGGTAGTGGTTAAAGCGGTTGGTCTTGGACTAAACCTGAGCTAATATGAGAGTTCGAATCATACATGTAGCTTTTTCTTTTTCTTTTTTTTTTTTTTTGTTTTCAAATGTCATAAAAACATGAATAAAAAATAAATTATTCATAAATTATTAAAACAATGAAATAAAGAATTTGATATGTAAAAGATGATATAAACCATAAAATTTTGAAAAAATACTACTTTTCGAATTGAGAAATATTTTTTTTCAGAGCGCGGAATTGTCCTTGCCTTGTACGCCTCCATTCTTTGCTATGTGTCGTATAGTCAATCATACACCATCAGTGATTATTTGTTAAAATTTGGCAAACAGTACATTATTTGTTTAATGTTTGTTTGCAAGTAAGGTATTCATTTTTGATGCCCATTATATACATTTTATCAGTGAAATCCACCTGCTCAATTGTCTATAAAACAAACATTGATTGCAGTAAATTTTTACATATTTCAGTGATTATTTCTTTGGGATTCTTAACAAATTTTACAGCAGCTTTAATGGACGGTTTATTTTTACTTTAGTTTACTGATTCTCTACAATTCTCTTTTAATGCAGTGTCTCGAATACCCTTGTTTTCCAGCTTCTCACAATTAAACTATGTGATGAAAAGTAGTCACATCAATTGTTATAAATTCAACCTTAGTATTGTATGTCATACAGTTCAGGACATTATTTATTGAACAGCCCTCGTAATTTGTACATCAGTAGGGGGACAAGAGGTCACATTATATTGTACATCATTAAAAACTAATGATAACACTATTTTGAACGACAATGAAAAAACCGGAAGACACTTTATATTTTACATCAATAAGAAGACCAGAGGTCATCTTATAATATTATATTGTAAGTCAACAGGGAGACCAGAAGACACCTAATATTTTACATAAATATTGAGACCAAAGGACTCCTTATTTGGTCACCTGAATCAACGCATGTGACTTATTGCTATCAGTTTTTTTTTCTGGCGTCGTGCGCTGTGCATTGTGCGTTAACATTTGAACATTTTCAGCTTTTCTCTGTAATCCCTCAACCATTTACAACCAATTTTGGCATAAAGCATCTATGGGTGAAAGGGAAATTTTTTTTGAATTCATGGTCCCTGCCCTCCACCCCCTAAGGCAAGAATGTTTGGGCGTAATTACTACAATTGATGAAATCTTTAAAAATCTTCTTTACTCATTAACATCAAGCCGTCGAACTGTTTGTATTTGTATTTTATTTGTATTTTATTTGAACCGGAGACATTACATCTCATGGGTATACAATATTCATACATAAGATTTGTACAGGCTACACAATATACATGTATTAATTGCATAACAATATCATTTAATTATTATTTAGAACATCATTTCTTAATTGATAAGAAAAATACAAAAATTTGCCCAGGTTACATAGTTCTTTAGTATTTGTAGAACTCAATAGCTGTACTAATTTAAATACTGATGGTTTTTTAAA